AGATAAAAAATTCAAACAAAAGGAAATTATTAAAATTAAATAAATAAATAAATATTATTTAATTAAATTTAAAAAAATGAAAGATTGTTTTTCATTATAACAAGCACGAAGAAGCTCACCCGAAAATAGAGAGAGAAACTTTGAGATCGCCAATGCCAAAATTCACGGGATCTGGACAGTCCGTGTAGTTGTAGTAGAAAAGATGATAGTTTAGCATTTCGTTGCCTGATCATCATAAAATTTGGATAGGATGTTCACAATTAATTATTCTTCAAATTCAACAGTTTCAAATTCACCAGTTATGATTAAAATCAAAAGGTCTATTCGTGAGAATTTTGTACATGATTAGTACCCAAACTCTTGCTAAAAAATTTCATTGCTGGTGATCCTATTGTCAAAATATATAGATTTTGGAACATCAAGTATGAAAACTACCGATTTTTTTTTTTTAATAACCGTGGATGTCCGGGCCAGATTGCGTGCACCTTGACTAATTTCACGGGGCTCTAAAGTTTACGGCCGTATACTCACCTCAATGGCCCTGGGGGAATCGAAATGAAAACTATCAATTTATATCCACAAGTTTATATATTCTTTTGAACTGGTTGTTCTGTAAGATTTGCATATCGTCTTAATTATAAAAATTGTATAATTACATTAATATCCACCTATAATTTCAATTCATAATGTACCACGTTTTCTTTAATTGCACGATTATATTAAATAATTATTCTAGTGCAAGTCAACCAATCACGGTTTCTTTAATTGATTGTTATATATAGATTATAATCATTACACTGTGCATATTCATTTTTTTTGAATTTATTGTTGCTTCCAAAAAAGCGTAACATTAGATTATTCTAAAATAATATTACCTACTCCTGAAGAGTATGACATTATAATCTTAAGGACTTTGCTTGGTGTACATAATTATTGTAGATATGGGTTCCCATAACCCTCACATGGGATGGAGCCCACATTTTTGTGGACCTCACCCCATATGAGGGTTATGTACAATAATTATGTACACTTAACATTTTTCTAATATTAATATTCGAAAAGAATATTGACCTATTACTCAAGAGAATACTTCTATATTAAAATTAATAGAGCATCAATGTGTTTATGCTCTTGAAGGACCATTCCATGACTGTTTATTTTGAACGAATATAGTGGTGATGTTCTCACACTCCATATTATATAAAATATCATATTGTGTTTCCAAAAAAGCACAAATTTATATGTATCGATACTCTAAAAGAATATTATGATATATTAATATTATAGAAATATATTACTTTAATACTCTAGAAGAACCAATACTAAATTATGTGGGAGAATAAATTTTACTGTTCATAATGATTTATTCTTAACTTAATTAAAGAGAAACATACTAAATTTCTAGAATGTATGTCATGACTGATACTATGCAGATATTGGTAAAATTTAAATAAAAATTGTATTGAACTAGAAGTTCTAGTATTGAATGTATTATTGTTTAATATGAATAGTTGGATCAATAATTTAGTACTCCAATTTGTTAAAAATACTTGTCCTATTTTTTTTTTTTTTCCTGTATTTTTTCCCACTGAATTTTTGTCAAACTAGATTTTTAATGAGACGGCTATTGTGCAAATAATTATCAAATGGAGAATGTTATAAATTTATGAGATAAAAATTGATGACTATTTAGTTTTATCAGGATATTTAGATAAGTTTTATCTACTATAAAAGAATATGTTTTGTTGATATTGTAACTCTTATTTGAACCCTACAAATATGGGACATTGATTAACAATAAAATATACAATTGAATTTTTATTCTATCTATTTCTTCTCTATATTTCTCTCTCGTTCTTTAGCTCATGTTTATCTACCATTTTCCACAAACTCTTTTTATCTAAAACTTATTTTCAACCACATTTTCACAATAAAATATTTTGCACGTAAATCCAAATTTTTTTTCCTACATTCTTAAAAAAATTATTATTCCCAAAAAAAAAAAACTATTTTTAATGGCATCAAACAGAGGCTTAAGAGGGTGTATTCAATTAGACTTTTATGGATTTTCTTAAATGATTGACTTCTTGAGTACCCCAAAACTTGTAGACTTCTAAAAAAATTTAATTGAATCACTTTTAAAAACTTTTTAACAATCTATAAAAGATTTGATTGAATATCCCTAAACTTTTTAAATCCCAAAAAATCTTTAAAAGTTTCAATTAGATATAGTTTTATAACATTCCTATATATATTTCAATTGAATTAATTTGAATACCATAAACATTTGTTCTTGAGATCGAACTTATGTTGAAAATAATCATTCTTGATATTATTTCCGCATTTATATTTTAATTGATTTGAATTGGATTAGGTCGAAAATAATGTAAGTTAATTGGTAACCTTTATCAAATTCAGATTCAGAGAAGTGTTCAATAAGGTAAAGTGGAATAGAAGTAAATGAACAAGTAACCAATATATTTGCTTGTTAGCTACTTTTAAAATCGATTTATTCCTTTTTCATCAATTTAGGTGTTCATGGAATCAGAGATATCCAAATCCCCCATTTCCCATATTTTTCTTTTCTTTTCTGAGATTAATGATTGTGCCTCTTCAATAAGACCCAGTTACTTTGCACTCAGTATTTAATTGATGAAAAACGTATACATATAATAAGACCAACTAGTTTAAATGGCACGTTACATTAAACTTGAAGGGGCACAATCGAACCACATGCATACAATTTTTTAACATATACTAATGCATTCCGATTTCATACCTTAATTAATTTCTATATATAAATACACACTAGGAAACATCAGCAAATTATTCCACCTCCAAATCACCATGCAGCAGTTTAAACGCCACGGGAAAATGTACACCAAGGATAACTATCAAGAGAAGACAACAATCCTCTTAAAAAGTATGTACTACAGTTTCTCAATAACGTCGACCACCTGATGTGGATAGGAGGACACGACTTGATTTCTTTCCCTTTTTCCCCGATTCATTCACCTTGGGCATACGCAGGCCGCCTTCAACAGGCTTTGCTCTAGATGTAACATTGGCAAATGATAAGGAACCTGTGTTTCTCAATCCTACAAGAACGACAGTGTACACATTTCAACAAGTTCAATAAAGATACAATACACAGCACCATCAAATGACAAGCCAATCCTTCTAAAGATCAAGCATAAAGTCAACAACATTAGTGTGTACATACATACCTGCAACATCACAAGAGCCGTGTGGTACATCAATCTTGGGAAGAGCTTCGGCTTCCTCAGTTTTCAAAGCTGGAGAATCATGTCCAGCAGCAAAACCTAACCTTGCAACACTTGAAAATGACTGCCTCTCCCCAATCGCTGGAGGACTTGATGATGTCACGGGTGGACTTCCCAAAGCTTATCAAGGACAAACATAATGAAATGAACAATAAGTTTATAATCGTGCATGTCTCAATAACATAAAGATGTATTAATCACTGTGCAAGCCAAATGACAAGTGGAATAAAATTTGGTGTCAAATACCACAAAGTAACATTGAAAAAACACCAGGGCTAGGGTCTCAAAACAATACATACAAATACAATAGGAGAAATATCAGCGCCAACATCATATACTGCTGAGACACATATGTAATAGAGAGAATATAAAGTGATAATCAAGCACCACTGCATTCCAGAAGCAACATTTATTGCACAGAACATTGATCTTCTGGTTCATGATATTTTTTGGTTCAAGTGTCACCATCAATTTACAACTGAATGCATAGCGCACACAAAAGTTATCAGTAAAAAGATCGTTTTTCCATAAAGAGCATATTTCCTGGGGAAAACGCTCAACTTAAATGGCTTATAAAAGGTACCAACAAAGTCAATTGTTAAAAACCATTTGATAAAAATATAACAGAATAAATTGAAGATTTTTATTTATCACGATATCTCAAAAGGCCATATTATTTTACTTCCACACGAATCCTAAAAAGTCATTAGAACACTTGTTTTCCTGGCTTCGAATATAGTCATCAAAGTTATTCAGACTATCTTCTGGTAAGAAAAATCACCTTCAAAGTCCTCCATTGAAAAGTTAGGGGGTACATCGTAAGAAGACTGTGCTAAGTAATATGGTGTCGGCAAAAATTGAGTGGCAGAACTTTCGGCCTTAATTTTCTCCTTGCTTTCCTGGATTCGAAAGATGAAGTAACGTCAAAGAAATGGCTTAAGCAACTATGCATAACACATCTACATTTGAAATGAATATCGAAAGTAAACTCAATTGATTGCATAGAAAACGTGTCATTAGTAGATTTAGTCCTTTAAAGAGAATTTTAGAATGTGGGCGTGCAGAGAGATACAGAGCATAGCCACCAATGTATTTCTCCCGTCTCATTTATTCCAAATAATTGAAACCTTTTTACTCTCTAGATTGTAATCCAGGTCAACTTTTGCTGTGAATAGGGAAAGTGTCGCAGCATCAAGCTGATCTTTTCCTCTATATGGTCAAACAGTTAGAATGAGGTTGGTTCCATTAGTTCATTTGTAGTAACTCAATATATGTAAAGGTAGTGACACTGTAGATCCTTAAGAACAACTATCAAATTAGAGTTTCCAATTGACTGGTTGATAGCTCAAGACCCTCTTCTTCCAACCCAGAAAAATAAAATTCAAAAAGAAAGTTTGCAAGCCAACACTCACAGCATGATAGGCAGGCCAACAAATTAAATACAAGACGAAGTACAAAATCATGCAATTGCATGGCTTATCTGATGGAGTGAAACAGGCACAAACACAAACACAAACACAAAATATTATACCTTTCTAGCAAGTCGCTTCCTTTGCTTCTCCCTACTCTTGATTTCATCCATAAATGGAGAAAGGGATTCAGCAGGCAACATTCCGCATAGATCAATTTCACAAAACTGTAAAGAGACACACAAGTGAGTGACGACAACCCACCAACGCAGACTAGGCTTCTCCTTCTGCATTCTATGAATAGTTTAAACATATTTTTAGTATTCACCTGAAACGTTGTTGTTAAAGAAAAATGGCTTAAGAAGCGATAGCGCCTCCGCATGGCCTCTGATTGAGTTACTGTCTCCAACTGTAGTATCTTTCCCTTGATTCTGTAAACATAATTCTTGTCAATAATCATCAAACTAGAGTACAGCAAAATATGTTCATCATTACTAGTTTTCAAACCATTTCAAAAGTTCTATCATGAAACTGTCTATACCTTCCAATTCCAGAAACACTTAGTGGGCGCATCATTTTATAGTCAAGACTTGGAAAAACACATTATTACAACAAACAATACACGAGTACTGACATCAACATTTTCCATGTGTCCAACTTTAGATAAATACTTATGGGCTGTTCTCTTTGTGTTTCAGTTTTGAGTTTTGAGTTTTGAATTCATTTTGTATTTTGTGTTTTTAGTGTCCATTTTAAGATGATTGAAAATGTGTTCTTTTTGACATTTTGAAAAATTGTTTTGAAAACATCAAAAACGCGTTTTGAAAATTTTGGCTTGATTATAATTGCAAACAACCGAAACGTCGTTTTGAGTTTTCTTAGTAAATTAACTTGTTTTCAAAAACACATTTTCGAAAATAGAAAAGAGAATGCGTTTCACTATTTTGGAAAATCGAAAACAGAAAACAGCTTGAAAATGGTAAAGAGAACAGACCCTTAATTTCTGAGCTCATTTGGTAGTTTTTCCATTTTTACTTTACTCTTTTAACTTTATATCATATATTGAAGTTTGAGTTGGTTGGGCCTTGGGGTGTCTCCAACTCATAACTATATGTATTATGGATCAACCATCTTACGAAAAAACCAGTAATTGTATTAAGAACAGAAGTGGGCCTAAGTTCATCGTCTTCCCTCATATCCTCCCTCGTGTGGGACATGGACCAAATTTTCTCACCAAACTGATGCGGTCTGCAGATAAATGCAAATGGTGTAACGAAAATCCTAAGAACTGACCAAAAACCAAGCTCAAATACCATATTAAACCCTTGATAAGCTTGTGTTAAACCCTAAATCATTGGTGTTGGATGGAGCAACTCATATTCATGTTAAATAGTAGAAGAAATTCAGAGTGTGTTTGGTAGAGATTTTTTGGGGAATAATTGATTTTTGAATAGTGATATGATGGGAAATGTGTGGTTGAAAAAGAAGAAAAAAATATTGATGTGATGGAAAATATTATTTTATTGAAGAATGTGTGGTTGAAAATGAGAATTGATTTACTGTAGAAAATGAGAATCTGTACCAAACATGCTCTCAGTCACGAAAGAGCATAAAACAACATATATCTTTGATCATTTTTTTCACAATCACAAGCAAGGTATACTGATATCAGTGGGTAACATAGTGCTTGTTTGATAAAGATTTTTTGAGAATTGATTCTTTGAAAAGTGATTTTTTTTTGAAA